GGAACACATATTCAATATAAATTAACAGGTTTTTTTCCCTCAATAAAACTCTTGCTGCTTATTAATAAGGTAGTTGTTAAGTTTAGGTATGGGGTAGGATTAAGGGATCTACAATATGGTCATGCAAAATAAGGCATTAATATGTGCTTTATAAGTACTAATAAACAGCCATTATGCTATTAATATGCATGCTAATAAGCAACTAGTTAATAGTGAGAATTGCTCCTTAAAATGAAGTGTTACCGAATGCTATTAGAGATCCTATGTTATGTAATCTTGGCACTAAACACGACCAAACTCTAACCTTCGGTCCGGCTGACAGTGTCCATGACAATGTTATACTCATTGATTTTGTCTTTGTGGTGATGGAATTCTCTCTGCAAGGTCTGGAGCTCCTCGTCAGAGAACTTTCCAGAAGTCTTGGCCTGAGGATCAAAGGTCAAAGAGAATGTTTAAGCAAAGTTAGTAATAAGTGAACAAGTCTGTAAGCCTGCAAATGAGTAACACATTCACACTCCAGTAGTTGTTCTGTCCCATGAGTTACCTTGTTCCACAGCTTGTCCAGCCTCGGGTCATCAAATGTATCTCCATCTTTAACATCATGATCTTTCAGTCTGTTACTGTCCAGTGCCCGGGTGTCTTTTTTCCCATCCATTCCATACTTTGCTAGAATAACTGTGCAAAGAAATATATTTATTATAATAAAGTTATAGAAAGTTGAAGTCATTTTAGTTACCACTTTGCTACATATCATAAAAACAATAACATTTTCTATTCAATATGTCCCATCCCAACTTCCAGTAGCAATAGGAAATGCATCACCATAGAGAATAAAACGAGTTCTTAATGTCATAACCCATGAAAACTCAGTCTACCAAACAAAACAGTCAAATCCTACTATTAAAATTGCGTCTGAGCTTGGCTTCTCTTTCTCCATCCTCATCCAACCCTTCTGCTTTAATTTTTTTCCACTGAAGTTCATCTTTCTCCTGGATCTTCAAGTCACTGTGCAGTTCTGAGAGCCGCACCGGTGCAAGCTGCATCTAAAGCAGGAGATGGTGATGGACAGTTACAGTGAGGAACATTATAATGTTCAAAAGAAAGCATATTATAAAATCTGAGCAGTCATGAAATACTATAGAGTAAGATTTAAACACAATGATAAAAGGACAATCAGAATATCCTATTACATTAGCCAAAATTAATTATTGTATATTTATAATATACTGTATATTTTTAATCTGTCACATTACTTACTCTTATCGCCTTTTCCCAAACCTGGTTTAGTTTGGCAATCCTGAATTCCACCTGATTGTTGTTTTTATCAGATGCCTTTTGTTCATTAATTTCTTTTGAATACTTGCCCGCCGTTGCTCCGATAACAAACAAAGAAATCAAAATTGTAAGCTGCATTTTCATTCTGACACACAAGAAGCGAATTAGTTACAAAAGGTATTAAAGTATGTAATGTTTTCTAGAGCATCTGCAGCGCTATTCAGGAAGCGTTTCGAGAATCATATGGCGTTCACATGATTGAACGTCCAGCTGCGCATTGCATCATGGGTCTTGTAGTTTTCAATTAGACGTGCGCGCTATGGAGCGAGCGTCTCGACGTATAAAGACTTCAAATCCCACGAAGCGCTGCTTGCTCGTTACCTAGTAACATCGCGTAAAGATGCTTTGAGCAAATGAGATCGAACCACGCACTGGGAATGAAGGGAAGCCTGCCCACTTGCTGCCATCTGCTTATTGAAACTGCCCACAAGATTAGATTTTAAATCTCATTAAATCTCAAGCGCAGATATCCCAAAAGTCTAATATTAATTTTCAATTCCTGAGTGTTCATCATGAAATCTGTTGGATTTCAAATAAAATAAATAAAATCCAATGCCTGGGAAGCAAAATTCACCCATTATTGTCAGCTCTTAACAGGGTTACTAGAGGTGTGAACACTTTTGCAATCTGTCTTGCTCAAGCCTGCTACCTGTACTGCAATTTGTCTTTTCCAATTTTCCCAATTAGAATGCGATAGTACTAACTGCTTTCCAATATTGGAGATAATACAATGATTGATATAGAAAACAAGATTGAGATTCCTCATAAATGCTACTATAAAATGCCTGAATTATCAGGACACTACATGTTTGTATGTTTGTGCCACCAGCGCTATCCCTATTGTAGGATTAAACCTCAAAAATGAAACCCAATAGGCTACAGGGTATTTAATAACACATCTTTGTCTTACAATAACAAAGTACACTACTTAATCCTCATTGCTTGGTTAACCCATTTACTTTGATGATAAAATAATTGGATACATTTATGAAACACTGATTGTTATAAATTTGTGGAACAACAACTTAAAGTGTTACTGAAGGAGAGCTTGGGACTTTTTCAATTTTTCTAAACTTTGTGCTTGTACAACATACTTGTATCTGTTGGTCATTCTTGTTATCCCTATTACATTAGAAAACATTACATTATCTAACCAAATTGACATAAAATCAATAAAGCCTGTAATATCTATCCAAGGTGTCATCACCTTCATAACACCAGCTCTCTGAGGGACCTTTTGTACACAAATTCATATTGATTGACTCCTCTCTCTTTTACAGTCTATCCTGTTCTATGTTGACATTGCAAACGCTCGCTTAAACACACACACACACGTTTCCATGTTTTATGGGGACATTCCATTGAGGTATAAATTTGTATACTTTACAAACGGTAAGATTTTCAAAAATCTTAATTCTGTATGATTTATAAGCTTGTTTCCTCATGATGACCAAAAAATCTCCTCACAAGGTCAAAATTTACTGGTATTACCATCCTTGTGGGGATATTTGGTCCCCATAATGTAGGGAATACCTGGTGCTGGGTGGGACACACACACACACACACACACACACACACACACACACCTTAAACATATGATAAAGAAAACAACAGAGGCAATTATACGAGATACATGCAGTACCAGAAATTCATTATATTTGGCATATTATATTATATTCTGTTTGGAATATTTAATTTAGACATAATAAGCAAACCGCTTGAAAAACACTTACTCATGCAAACAATTACAAAGTGATTAAAAATGTAGCCTACTTCAAGATATGTTAAGGACAGTCACTCCCTAGTGAAAAAAAGTATACTTTATTGTATTTGTAATATATTACCTGTTTTAATAGTACATTACAAATATACTAACAAAAAATGTACTCTCTTTAAATATACTGTATAAAACAGACACTATATAAATGTTGAGGATATATTTAGCTGAACATCTCTAAAAAAATGTTCCTCCACGCAAACTCTTTAGCTAAAACAATCTGCTTGTGGTGGATGCAGAAGATGCCCCATCCTCACACTCATAATTTCAAAGAATGTTCCATCACTTAACTGTACAACAGAATTGTTATATCATTATAAATTGTATGGCGAAATAAAGCTGAAAAACAACAATTGGCATTGATATCTGTATAAAGCTGCAGAAGTAGTTCCTCAGAAATCAGCTTTTAGTCTCTTTCAATATTGCTTGGAAGTGGAATGACATACAGTTTGTCTTTAGACGTAATAATTACACATTTACACTTGAGTGATTGAGGATGGACAGCAAATACATTATGAGACACTATATAAATGTTGAGGATATATTTAGCTGAACATCTCTAAAAATTGTTCCTCCACGCAAGCTCTTCAGCTAAAGCAATCTGTTTGTGGTGGATGCAGAAGATGCCCCATCCTCACACTTGAAAGCCACCAGGGTCATAATTTCACAGAATGTTCCATCACTTAACTGTACAACAGAATTGATCCTCTTTTAAAGAGTCGTGTTATTACAGGAATGATAAAGAACACTGCTCACTGAGAAAAAAAAATGTAATGCTGTTCACTTTATTTAAACAATTCCTTTTGATTTAACACCATTATATCAGGTTTCCCATTCAAACACGACTGCATCATGTTGAACAGACTTGAAACAACTTTTTTCTTTTAAATAATGTTTTTGGAGAAAATATGTTTGTATAGAGTATAGGGCTATAGGTTATTATAAATAATTAAAAGCTAATCAAATAAATACATAAACAATAGTAAATATATTTATATTTTTATATTTATATATATTTACTAATATTTACTATATTTCACTGGGGGAAAATATTAATTTAATTTACTACATAATTTCAAAGAATGTTCGATCACTTAACTGTACAACAGAATTGTTTCTCTTTTAAAGAGTCGTGTTATTACAGGAATAATAAAGAACACTGCTCACTGAGAAAAAAAAAATGTAATGCTTTTCACTTTATTTAACAATTCCTTTTGATTTAACACCATTATATCAGGTTTCCCGTTCAAACACGACTGCATCATGTTGAACAGACTTGGTTCATTGGTTCATGCAAATAAAGTTCTGTCAACATATTCTCCAGCGTCTCCTCGTCCCTCGTGTGTGTGTGCAATGTGACAGCTACATTTAAAGAAACAAATTTAGTTGACTAATTTTCAGCTTTTTTTTTTTAATGTAGCTAAAATAAATTGTTTGCAACATACCTTAAAACATTATTTTTAAATCCTTTTTTTTTCAGTGTACATGCGTCTTTCATATAAAGCCTACATTAAGCCTTTTTATGTAATAACTTTTACTTATGGTAAAATATATATTTTTAGTGTGTTTCCTAAAAAGATTCAAAAACCGCGCCCGTTATCTAGTCAGTCCCGTGACGTCAGCCCGTCCAATCACAGCTGAGCTGAGCTCACTCAAAGAAGTTGAACAACAGATCTTGGAAGACATGTGAAAATTACTACACGTTTTTGAAAAGTACTACAGGGTTTTAAATGGGCACAGGTCCTACTGAATAAACACTACTCTGATCCTTCACACCTTTATTTTCATTTATGAAAATATAAATATGTCTTTCCACACAAGGGTTTTCCACAAAAAAATTTTTATGATTTGTTGTGGAATATACTAATACTTTTTTTAATGCATTTAGAAAAAGGAGCCTGAGCAGGTGCAGAAGGCAGCAGTCCCCATCATTGCTGCTGAGGAGGAAGAGGAAATGTCACGAGGGAACCCACTGGATGTTTTGATTGTCTTTGAAGACGGAGAGGTGATGTCAACCAAGTCTAGGGTCAGTGCACTGCTGCTGTTTTTGCACTTTATGCCCTCATTTAGAGTACACTAACTTCTCAAAGCAGCTTTACAGAAAATGCATGTGTCTACATTACAATTTAGCCTGACCTGTACTATAAATACTATTCTTTTCAACTTGAATAGTGTTGTATCGTGATTTAAAGTGATGCTATATTGGGTGTACTCACTTCTGTTGTATACTGTATGTTTGACTAATACACTGGAAGCAATATTGACGTGACATACTGATACAATTCCTCACCGCTAATCATGATGTTCATTCTATTAAGTAGTACGGGTTTAATACAGGAGATTTATAGTCTGATGTAGTAAAAAGAAAAAGTTGTATGAACATGCCCTCTGACCTTACCTTTTTTACTTTAACAAATGCTGTTCTTGTGGCGTTTCCACACACAAGTACATCTGATGTGTAAGCGGCCATCAGGCGCAAGTGTAATTCTTTATAGAATTGCAATTTTTTGTATTGTTTTGTATTGTGTTGTATTGTTTTTGTTTTGTTTTATTGTATTTATACTTTAGTATAATTTAATTACAACTAAAATACACTTAGTACAAAAAATAGTTGTTCCAAAATAGCACACTTCAAGTTAACTAATCATTAACACACTTGACGTATACTGACAATTAGTCTGGCTGCAAGTATACTTTTTTTCAGTAGGGCTTGTTTATAAAATCGCTGAAATTATATGAAGTGGATTTTGTAATGCTTTTCAGGGTACAGTATGAAAAGGCAGTTAAGTAATCAAGGTTGTACCATCTTTGCTCACTGTCACGAGTTTAGTCATTGACCTTTGATTCTACTCAAAAGACCTTTCCGAGGAGCATACAAAAATGTCCCTATAAAAAGTACACAAGCTGCGTCAGTAAAAGCACTTCATATGTTAACACAATATAGCTGCCTGTTGTCTACCCACTTCAAAATAACACTAAAATAGCCATAGACAGGCTCTAAAAGCTGCCAGGGCTGAGCATATCTGCAAATTCATAGAAAATAAACAAAAATCCAAGGTTTTTATTTAGCACAGTGGCCAGATTAACAAATAATCAGACATCACCCAAACTAAATATTCCCTCACAGTTTAGTAGTAATGACTTTATGAATTTCTTAACTGATAAAATTGATAGTATCAGAAATACAACAATAAATGTAGAATCTACAGCGTCTTGTAATTCAGCTTCATTCATTGCACCCAAAGAAAAATTGCAGTGCTTTACAACTATAGGACAGGAAGATCTAAATAATCTTATCACTGCATCTAAACCAATAAAATGTTTATTAGATCTTGTACCAACTAAATTACTGAAAGAGTTGTTACCTGTAGCAGAAGAACCACTTTTGTCTTTAGGTCACGTCCCAAAACCTTACAAGCTGGCGGTTATTAAGCCTCTTATTAAGAAACCACAACTAGATCCAAGTGAACTGGCAAATTACAGATCCATTTCAAATCTTCAGTTTATGTCTAAAAATGTAGAAAAAGTTGTGTCTGCTCAATTGTGCTCCTTCCTGTAAAAAAAATGATATCTATGAAGAATTTCAGGCCCCACCATAGCACAGAAACTGCACTTGTTAAAATTACAAATGACTTGCTTCTTGCGTCAGACAAAGGCTGCATCTCATTACTAGTTTACTTGATCTTAGTGCTGCATTCGACACTATAGATCATGACATACTCATAGATCGATTACAAAACTATACGGGTATTCAAGGGCAGGCCTTAAGATGGTTTAGATCCTACCTGTCTGACCATTATCTCTTTGTTTATTTAAACGGGGAATTATCACAATTAACGGCAGTAAAGTATGGAGTGCCGCAAGGATCTGTCTAAGGCCCTCTGCTATTTTCAATATACATGTTACCCCTTGGTAATAATATTAGAAAATATGGGATTAGTTTCTATTGTTATGTGAATGATACTCACCTATATATTTCAACAAGACCAGTTGAAACTTCTAAATTATCTAAGCTAACAGAGTGTGTTAAAATGTAAAAGTTTGGATGACCAATAATTTTCTCCTATTAAATTTGGATAAGAGATATTACTTATTGGACCAAAAAAACAGAATCTCTTAGATTACAATTTGCATCTAAACGGATATATTGCTACTTCTAATACAGTCAAACATTTGGCTGTTATATTAGACAACAACTTGTCTTTTGAAAATCATATTTCACATTTTACAAAAACAGCATTCTTCCATCGTAGAAACATTGCCAAGCTACAAAACATGTTACCTATTTCTGATGCAGAAAAGCTAGTTTATGCATTCATGACCTCTAGACTGGACTATTGTAATGCACTGCTAGGTGGTTGTCCTGTATCTTCAATAAACAAGCTACAGTTAGTCCAAAATGCAGCTGCTAGAGTCCTTATCAGATCAAGAAAATATGATCATATTACCCCAATTTTACAATCTCTACACTGGCTACCTATTAAGTTCCGTATCAATTCCAAAATATTACTACTTACTTATAATGCCCTAAATGGTTTAGCTCTTGCATACCTAACTAGTCTTTTATCATGCTACAATCCATCACACTCCCTAAGGTCGCAAAACTCTAGACTTTTGGTAGTACCTAGGATAGCAAAGTCCACTAAAGGAGGTAGAGCTTTTTCGCATTTGGCTCCTAAACTCTGGAATAGCCTTCCTTATAACATTTGGGGTTCAGACACACTCTCTCTATTTAAATGTAGATTAAAGAGACATCTCTTTAGCCAAGCATTCACATAATGTATCTCATAACCTTGTACTTCTGTTATATCTGATCAAATTCACATGATCCTTCTTTGCTTGGTTTGAACACATTATAATTTTTTGCTTGGTTTGAACAGCAGCTATGCTAATTTTTCTGTTTGCTTCTCTGTTTCTGCCATAGGATGGGCATCCCGAGGTAACTATGAATTACACAAGCTTCAGTCTGGATCCAACCCTTACAAAGATCTGAGATGATTGAACACCTGAGAAGAGATGATGCCAACCCCTCAGAGGACCTCAGATGATGACAACTCTGATTCAACATACTAAACTACCAAATTTTCTGTGAAGCTGCTTTGCAATGATTTGTATCGTGAAAAGTGCTATACAAATAAGCGCAAATTGAATTGAATTAAATTGTATGAATTAGGCGGTAACACTTTAGAATAATGGTCCGTTGTTAACAAGTAACTATGCAGGAAGTAATAGGTAATACTACATTAACACAACTTAATACTATTAACTAATAGAGAAGCAAGATTAACTAAGCAGTAAGTAGTAGCAAATTTAGGACAAAGGTAGTTCCTTATTAGATATTTGATAATTATTAAATAAAAATATCCTCACTGAGAACTACTTGTGAACTATGACCAGTTAATAAAGAATAACCAATTAATTACTAATCACAACAGTAACATCTTAAAAGTGAACAATTGGGTTCTTTGTGGAAACTAATTTATGAATTTGATATCCCCCAGTATCAATGTATCCCACTCCAAAAGACCTACTGGTAAAATATCACTAGTGCTTCACACAAATGTATGACTGTATAGTATGTCAGATATAAAATATGTTAAATAACTTATTAATTTACTTGTGAGTAATTACTGAGGGTTTTAGTAATTATCAAATATCTAATAAGGACCTACCGTTGTCCTAAATTTGCTACTACTTACTGCTTAGTTAATCTTGCTTCTCTATTAGTTAATAGTATTAAGCTAAGTGTTAATGTAGTACTACCTATTACTTCCTGCATAGTTACTTGTTAACAACGGACCATTATTCTAAAGTGTTACCAATTAGGCCTTTAGATGTTTATGCAGATCATCAAACATCACGCTACTACCCTTTTGGTTATGTTTGAGTTCATTTTTTTATATTTTCATAGACATGTCTTCTAAAAAAGTATATATTCCATGTTCACCGAAGACATCCTTGGACATTGTGTTACAACAGCAAATTTCAGCTGCAGCCACCACACTGAAAAATCCTTAAGAGTGGCCTTTGTTGAGAAGACCTTGATTTGACAAGCCAATTTATCCAAACCAAAACTCTTACTTCTCATGATTATGTTATAATATACTGTGGTGTGAAGGTAAACACTATCATCATCATCATCATCATCATCATCAGAGTTACATGGCTGAAAACATAAGAATAATAAATAGAGACATATCAAGTATTTCTTGATTTGTTTGTATTTATTATCCATCTATGGAACTATGTTTCTACACTCAGACAGTTGCAGTGGTGCTGTGGTTTGCATTTTATCATTTAGTTAATTTGTATAAACAGAGTATTCTGTGCAAGGTCTGTACTCAGCAACAGTGGGGAAATATAGCTTATTATGTAAGCTCATTTGGTTGAATGAAATATAAAAGTAAATCAAACTAATCCATGCCAATTTCATGTTGTTCTAAATTGAACACTTCTCCACCCTAATGTATTTTTTCATGTATAGCATTATTAATGAATACAAGCAAAGGGCACTGAGCAAGGAAACCGGAGCCTAAAGCGATTCCATTACATAAAGTTTGATGCTGTTCTCGGTTTCTCGACCTTTAATGTAGATCGGATTCCATTAACGTGCAGCAAAGATGGTCAAAGGCCTTTGTGTTTTGCTGCTAGAGACGTCTGTGGGCGCATCAAGCCTAATGAATACATTCAATCACAGACAACGGGAACAAACACCGTCATTAAGCGAGCAAACATCACATTTAAGGACGTTCTACTCCATCCATTCATCTTCATTTAAACAGGTCACGGAGGATTCTTCGGACAAGTCGTCCACTTCTTTTTTGAACATTATGACATTATACAGCTGTAAGAGGTGATGGGTGATCACATAGCTATCAGAATACCACACACACCAATGACTACTGCTTTTTAACAGCTTCTCAGTTTTATTTTCCATATCTTTTAGGCAGAATATTCACACAGGGTTTCTAAGATATCAAGCCATAAATATTCTGATGCGACCCTCAGGATAAACCACAAGGCAGATAAGAAACAAAATCTTTGATGTTTTCTTCTGGAGATGAAATGAACCACTATACTGTGTTTTGGAAGATGGTGTCCTTACAAAGCTACCTTAACCAGTTCCCTTTCAAGGGAACTTCGAACTGCGTCCTCTAGGGGTCGCTATGGGGGACACCTTCAGTGTGACCGGTGTCTGAAGCATATATCTAAAAACGACAATCGGTGCATTCCAAACGGGATATATCACCCTCCTAAGGGCACTTCGGAGTGAAAACAATCATAGCAGCTATATTGAAGGGTCGTTCCAAACCGAAGTGCTCAAAATTGGCCATTTCAAAGGGCCCTTCGGAATGAAGGATTTCGAAGGGTACAACTGATGGACACTTCGGGCTCCCATGATCCTTTGCGCAGATTCTTTGCATGATGACGGCGCCTCCGTGTGAGCACGTGATGATGATGCAGAAGGGCACTTCAAGAAAACACCCTTCAACCCTTCGAAGCTCTCACTCCGGAGGGTAAACCCTTTGAAGGGATTAGGGTATAGGGATGAGCCCTTCCGAATGGAACGCAGGGAAAAACATTGGCTGGCGACAGCCTATGACGTCATTATCCTGCGCAATCACAGTATAAAAGTGCACCGGGAGAACACGTCATCCTCTTCTTCGTCTTCACTGACCGTTTGTTTATGTTAGCGTTAAGCTAAACACAACTAGGAGTGCATGTTTCTCACCAGAGGCTTTTCTCTGATACCTGCAGTTTCACACGGCTCGCGTGCTGTGTGTATGTGTGTGGTGAAGAGCAAGCGCGTTCAGCTCTCGAGGGAGTTGGATGCGCTCTGCATTCATTGCTTATTACTTGTGAGGGATAAGCATGAATTGAACGCGCTAGTTTCATGAGGAGGCAGCTTGTGCTCATTGTGATGCATTCGCGGGACTACTGAGGGGGATGTGAGTATTTCACCATTTACCCGAGTTTGTAGATAACGTTTGCATGAGTGCGTTCGCCTCTCACGGGAATAGCGATGCATTCGCGGCAGCAGTTTTCGTTCGCGCTTGATTTCCGAGGTAATCTAGCGGTTGGGTGGAGCGTGTTTAGCTCCCGCGGGAGCTGAATGCAAGCTGCGCGTTGCGTCGCGGTGAGAACATGCAAAGGACCTGATGGGAAATTTCTCCCTATCAGTAATTTCCTTTTGTTTTCATAGGAGTGTATTGTTATGATGAGGTGGCTGAGTTGCTTCGCACCACAGATCTTGCTCCTCGTGCCACTAAGCAGTAGGGCTCTTCGGGC